GATAAACCACTGCCTACAGGGTGTGATGTCACTGTCATCATGGGATTCTCCTCCACATTCCAGCGCCATCTTGTTAGTCGATGGGAGGGGGAGCTTCTAGCAGCCTTTCTGAACAGTTAATGAACATAGGAGGGGAGGGGCTGTTCTAGCAGCCAGGTTAACACATTAAACATTGAATAATACTGAGTACAGTTATGCAGAGTAAATATACATTTACTAATCTTAATTTACGTCCATAACACTATGCACACAGTGCTCCCACTGCACTCCCATTGCACTCCCATACAAACACTACACCCCTCACATAAACATACATTGTCCAACATACACAAAGTGCACACACTGCCCCCTCACACACACATTGCAGCCCTCACACACACTGTTCTTCAACGGTTTGACTACTTACTCTGGGAGGGCGCCACAGCATTCCTGGCACCATATCTACTACAGAGAGCTGTAGTGGCTATTGTGCCTGGATTATTTCTTTAAATAATCTATCAGTGCTCCTCCTGAGATTATGTTCTGGATGCGCCTCTGGGCAGAGGAAGAGCAGGGAGAGCTTTGGGAAGAATAGGAGCAGGAAGAGCCTGGGGGAGAAGAGGAACAAAGAGAGCCTAGGGGAGAAGAGGAACAGAGAGGGCCTAGGGGAGAAGAGGAACAGAGAGGGCCTAGGGGAAAAGAGGAGCAGAGAGAGCATGGGGAAAAGAGGAGCAGAGAGAGCCTGGGGTAGAAGAGGAGCAGAGAGAGCCTGGGGTAGAAGAGGAGCAGAGAGAGCCTGGGGAGAAGAGGAGCAGAGAGATCCTTGGGCAGAGGAGGAGCAGGGAGAGCCTGGGACAGAAAAGGAGCAGGAAAAGCCTGGGAAGAGCAGAGAGAGCTTTGGGCAGAAAGGGAGCAGGGGAGCCTGGGACTAAAGAAAAGCAGGGATGCTATGACTAGAGGAGAAGCAGGGGAGCCTGGGGCAAAGGAAGAACAGGGGAGTCATAGCCACAGGAGTAGCAGGGGAATCTGGGGTTGAGAAAGTACATG